CCCGCCCGCCCGTCCGTCTGCACCCAACCGTCAGTGAAAACGCGCGGAGCAGCCCAACTAACGCAACGGCGAGACCGGGCCCCGAGAGACAACCCCCCGCGGGGTCCGCGACGGCCGAGCAGCCGAGCCGCGTCGCACACCGCCAAAAAAGAAGAAAAGGATAAATAAAACGCGACAGCGGCGGTGCCGTGCGGAGGGAGAAGAAGAGATAAATAAACTGACGGATACAGTCGGCAACAGGTGTAGCCGGGGCGCGGAGTAAAATGTGTGGCGGTGCTGCAGCAGGCCGCCGGGTGAAAGGGAGGCTCCGCTGCGCCCCAAAAACCTGTTGCCCGGCAGTGGCGGGGCGGGGCGCGGCGAGCGATATGGGCCGCCGCGGCCGCCGGTATGTGCCGTCAATGTGCCCGCCGCCGTGGCCCCGCGCCCCGCCACCTCCTCACCGTGCGCGCGGGGGTCGGGTCGGATGGAACATATCGGTCGGGCCGCCGTGTCATGTCAGCTGGTGGTCACCAGTGTCAGTGCCCCCATCACGGAGGCTCTGCCGCTGCTGCTGAACCCCTGCCGCGCCCGCGACCCTCCTCCCCCTTTCCCCTCCCCCCGTCGCCGTGTCCGCCGCAGCCGATGCGGAGACGAGATACCCGCGGCGGCGCCGGCCGTCGTCGCACGGGGGCACCACGACGACGGCATCGCAAAGGCATTCAGATGGAAAACGGCTGCCTGAAAAAAATTGACGATGCTAGAAATTATCTAAAGTGTTGCAGGGGCAGCAAGTGTAGAACGGTAGTTTTAAAGAGGAGGATAAGGAAGGTGCGGGGACGCGGCGGCGGGGGGAAGTCCCGCGGCATATCTCACTCACCAGGCGGGGCGAGGCGCGGTGGAAACAGAGTTGCACTCGGCGGGGCGGGGCGGGGCGGGGCGCACCGCGAGGAGCGCACCGCGGGCGATAAATAACCGCCCCGCTACGGGGGTTGCGTCACGGACCACGCCGGCCCGAGCGACACAAACAAAAAGGATAAATTTTCGCAAAATTGTTTAAGATCAAAGCGCCGCGGGGCGGTGCGGTGGTGGTGGTGGTTGGCGGCGGGGTACCCTAATTTACGACTCGCGGCGTGGCGTGGCGCGGCGTCGCATTAATCCCCAAGAGTATAATTGGCATTAACAACTTGGCAGCGTCGGGGCGGGCGGCACTGCGTTACACAGGCTGTTGCACCGCGACAAGGGCCAGATTGCGGCCCGCGGCCCCCGGGGGTCCTCTTGGCACCCCCATCCCCCTCCAGGAACACGACGGTCATCGCCGCCATGGCACATGGTGACGCGACGGTACTGCAGGTGCCTCGACGACGACGATGACCCCGCCGCCGCGGGGGGACGGCGGCGGCGGCGCGCTTCCCGGAGTGCGCGGCGCAGCAGACCTGCTCGCCGGACCGGTCGTCGCGAAGGGTGCTGACACGCCTGCAAAAGC